TAGTTTAAGAACTATCATGTATTATCGTAATGTTTGAGGCAAAGATAGCGAAGCAGTTCTAGGTACTGATAAGAGACTTCAGGACTCTCTAAGTCATTCCTCTCGTGCCTTGCTAGATATTATCTTGCTAGATATTATCTTGCTAGATATTATCTTGCTAGATATTATCTTGCTAGATATTAACTTTCTAGATATTATCTTGCTAGATATTATCTTGCTAGATATTATCTTGCTAGATATTATCTTGCTAGATATTATCTTGCTAGATATTATCTTGCTAGATATTATCTTGCTAGATATTAACTTTCTAGATATTATCTTGCTAGATATTATCTTGCTAGATATTATCTTGCTAGATATTATCTTGCTAGATATTATCTTGCTAGATATTAACTTTCTAGATATTATCTTGCTAGATATTATCTTGCTAGATATTATCTTGCTAGATATTATCTTGCTAGATATTATCTTGCTAGATATTATCTTGCTAGATATTATCTTGCTAGATATTATCTTGCTAGATATTATCTTGCTAGATATTATCTTGCTAGATATTATCTTGCTAGATATTATCTTGCTAGATATTATCTTGCTAGATATTATCTTGCTAGATATTATCTTGCTAGATATTATCTTGCTAGATATTATCTTGCTAGATATTATCTTGCTAGATATTATCTTGCTAGATATTATCTTGCTAGATATTATCTTGCTAGATATTATCTTGTTAGATATTATCTTGCTAGATATTATCTTGCTAGATATTATCTTGCTAGATATTATCTTGTTAGATATTATCTTGCTAGATATTATCTTGCTAGATATTATCTTGCTAGATATTATCTTGCTAGATATTATCTTGTTAGATATTATCTTGCTAGATATTAAAATTTCACCCTATATTTCAGTTTAATTTTCATCTCTGTGTCTTTTATGTTTAGAATGTTCTGAATGTGTCAACTGAGAATTTTAATTCTTGTAAATGAAAAATGTTGTGAGGGGAAAATTGTAAAACTGTGTGTGTCATCCTGGAGACTCGATCCTCCGTCCAGTAATGATGACTGGCTACGCCTGTGGTCACTGCTGCTCTTAAACTTCCTCGGTAAATAATTCGCAGTCCCCTAACTGAGGCTTAGATCCTCTAACTGAGGCTTAGATCCTCTAACTGAGGCTTAGATCCTCTAACTGAGGCTTAGATCCTCTAACTGAGGCTTAGATCCCCCAACTGAGGCTTAGATCCTCTAACTGAGGCTTAGATCCCCTAACTGAGGCTTAGATCCTCTAATTGAGGCTTAGATCCCCCAACTGAGGCTTAGATACTCTAACTGAGGCTTAGATCCTCTAACTGAGGCTTAGATCCTCTAACTGAGGCTTAGATCCCCCAACTGAGGCTTAGATACTCTAACTGAGGCTTAGATTCTCTAACTGAGGCTTAGATCCCCTAACTGAGGCTTAGATCCTCTAACTGAGGCTTAGATCCCCTAACTGAGGCTTAGATTTTCTAACTGAGGCTTAGATCCTCTAACTGAGGCTTAGATCCCTTAACTGAGGCTTAGATCCTCTAACTGAGGCTTAGATCCTCTAACTGAGGCTTAGATCCCTTAACTGAGGCTTAGATCCTCTAACTAAGGCTTAGATCCTCTAACTGAGGCTTAGATCCTCTAACTAAGGCTTAGATCCCCTAACTGAGGCTTAGATCCTCTAACTGAGGCTTAGATCCTCTAACTGAGGCTTAGATCCCCTAACTGAGGCTTAGATCCTCTAACTGAGACTTAGATCCCCTAACTGAGGCTTAGATCCTCTAACTGAGGCTTAGATCCCTTAACTGAGGCTTAGATCCTCTAACTAAGGCTTAGATCCCCTAACTGAGGCTTAGATCCTCTAACTGAGGCTTAGATCCTCTAACTGAGGCTTAGATCTCCTAACTGAGGCTTAGATCCTCTAACTGAGACTTAGATCCCCTAACTGAGGCTTAGATCCTCTAACTGAGGCTTAGATCCCCCAACTGAGGCTTAGATACTCTAACTGAGGCTTAGATCCTCTAACTGAGGCTTAGATCCTCTAACTGAGGCTTAGATCCCCCAACTGAGGCTTAGATACTCTAACTGAGGCTTAGATTCTCTAACTGAGGCTTAGATCCCCTAACTGAGGCTTAGATCCTCTAACTGAGGCTTAGATCCCCTAACTGAGGCTTAGATTTTCTAACTGAGGCTTAGATCCTCTAACTGAGGCTTAGATCCCTTAACTGAGGCTTAGATCCTCTAACTGAGGCTTAGATCCTCTAACTGAGGCTTAGATCCCTTAACTGAGGCTTAGATCCTCTAACTAAGGCTTAGATCCTCTAACTGAGGCTTAGATCCTCTAACTAAGGCTTAGATCCCCTAACTGAGGCTTAGATCCTCTAACTGAGGCTTAGATCCTCTAACTGAGGCTTAGATCCCCTAACTGAGGCTTAGATCCTCTAACTGAGACTTAGATCCCCTAACTGAGGCTTAGATCCTCTAACTGAGGCTTAGATCCCTTAACTGAGGCTTAGATCCTCTAACTAAGGCTTAGATCCCCTAACTGAGGCTTAGATCCTCTAACTGAGGCTTAGATCCTCTAACTGAGGCTTAGATCTCCTAACTGAGGCTTAGATCCTCTAACTGAGACTTAGATCCCCTAACTGAGGCTTAGATCCTCTAACTGAGGCTTAGATCCCTTAACTTAGGCTTAGATCCTCTAACTGAGGCTTAGATCCCCTAACTGAGACTTAGATATCCTAACTGAGGCTTAGATCCCCTAACTGAGGCTTAGATCCCCTAACTGAGGCTTAGATCCCCTAACTGAGGCTTAGATCCCCTAACTGAGGCTTAGATCCCCTAACTGAGGCTTAGATCCTTCGTTAATCACACGTGCATATTTCTGTAAATCATTATAATTCGCCTCTTACATTAATGGTTAAAAAAGAATCCTCAAGGGCACGTGTTGTAAATGTCTGCCTTGGTGTAAATCCTTTTAAGAACGTAAATCACCGTGAAATGTTCTGCTGTGTAAATCACCGATAAATTACCTGTAAACTGCCGCATATCACTGTCATCGAGAACGTAATTATTATAATCAAGGGGGGGGGCGCTAAACCCTTAGGATTATGCAGCGCCTGTAGGGGGGATGTGGAAGGTATCCAGGTTTAATTCGGGGAACTGGAGCACAGATCCAATTCCCCAGATCAAGAGCCCCTCACCAGCATCAAGGAACCTTCCTTGAGGGGATCCAGAACGTAAATTACCTTTAAATGTTCTGGTATATGTAAATCACTCATTAATCCCATGTAAATTACTGTATATCGCCACCATTCAGAACGTAAATTACCCTTAAATGTTCTGTTATATGTAAATCACGGTAAATCACTGTAAATCGCTTAGGGAAGCGTAATTGACCTAATATGTTGAGAATCTAAAACCAGATAGGACTTTCACCTGTCCTGAGGCTGACCAGAGGTATCCCGTCCCTCTCACTGGTACCCACCTCCCTCCAGGGCAGGTGGGCAGTTAATTGAGGTGGTGGGCAATGGGAGTGGGGTAGGGAGGGGCAAGAGTGAGATGATCTACCACAGCTGCCAAAACGAGTCGCTTCAGCCAGAGGGTAATAAGGCAGTTGGGTCATTTGGTAATGATTTGGAGTGAGAAACGAGGGTGGGTGAGTAGTTGGAGAGGCATTCGAGGGGTCTAAAAAAAGGATTTAAAAGCCTATGATGGAATTAGAAGGCTTATGAAGGGATCCGAAGTTATATAAAGGGATTCGAAAACCTATGAAGGGATTTATAATCCTATGAAAGGATTCAAAGGCCTATGAAGGGATCCAAAGACTTATAAAGATATTCGAAGGCCTATGAAGGAATCCGAAAACCTATGAAGTATTCAAAGGCCTATGAAGGGATCCAAATACTTATGAAGGTATTCGAAGGTCTATGAAGGGATCCGAAGACCTTTGAAGTATTCGAAGGCCTATTAAAGAGATTCAGAAGCCTATAAAAGTATTCGAAGGCCTATCTGAGTATCCTGGTAACTGAATCTATTCCCACTAACCAGCCAGGATAGTTATAGTCACTGCAGCTACTGTTACGGATAGTGACAGACTAGTTACCGGAGCCATTTTCTATAACAGTGTCCCGTAGGTGTCCCGTGGCTCGGTTGGTAGCGCACTCAAGTTACACATTGAGTGTCCTTGATTCGATCCCCGGTACAGGTGGAAACATTGGGCGTGTTTCTTTAAGACACCTACTGTTCCTGTTCACCTGAGTGTTAGTCACCTTACACCTGCTGTACCTGTTAACCATGACTGACTCTGGGTTCGAACCCCACTCAAGTTTTTTTTTTTTTTTTTTTTTTTTTTTGACTGACTGTAGCGCTGTATAGCCCTTGTGGTTTAGCGTTTCTTTTTGATTATACTAGCAGCAATTAGGTACTGGGTGTTAGTCGACTAGTGTGGGTCGCATCCTGGGGGATAAAATTAACCTAACTTGCCCGAAATGTTCGACATATTCAGTGGCTTTCTATACAGTGTGCCAATGATATCAGCTATGGTCTGTATAAGTTGCATCACGTACTTGACGTAATAAAGATTATGACAGAATAGAGGATTGAGTTATTATGTTAACAAATGTAACATTTGTTAATGGGGTCTGTTACTATGTCTCCCTCCCACCCTCCCTAATCCCCTCCCACCCTCCCTAATCCCTCCCACCCTCCCAAATCCCACCCTCCCACCCTCCCTCCCAGCCTCCGGCTCCCACAGTCACATCCTCGTGTTTACACTAAAAATCACACATCCTCAACAGTTATTTTAAACATCCAACATCTCATTTAACATCAACCAATACATTTTATCGTTAAAAATATTAAATATGCTAAAAAAGTAATCAATAGTACCGCCTGCCACTACACTAAATTATCTTAATGTAAGGGAGGACAAAATGAAAGAGAGCCTTCTACAAGGGAAGGGATGAGAGAGGAGGGAGAGGAGGAGTGCCAGTGCCAAATGAGGTGCCAGTCTGTGTTGGTGGCTGAGTGGAGAACCTTAACAAGTCTTCAAGACACTGGATCAACTCCTCCATCTCTCATACAGGTATAGTAATTCAATAATAGTAATAATAATAATAATAATAATAATAATAATAATAATAATAATAAAGTACTGTAATAAAGAATATAGACCATTAGGCCATAAATTAGCATTATATATATATATATATATATATATATATATATATATTATATATATATATATAATATATATATATATATATATATAATATATATATATATATATATATATATATATATATATATATATATATATATATACATATATATATATATATATATATATATATATATATATATATATATATATATATATATTATATATATATATATATATATATATATATATATATATATATATAACTGGCTGTCTCTCTTAGCAATTACATGTCAAGAACTCCGTGAACTTTGAGTTATATACACAGATAAATATGTATTTATCGATGTTTATACACTTAGAGGTGTGTATCAATGTTTATATGTATATACAGAGGTATAAACATTGTATATGCACTGAGAGTCTAATTCCACTTTAGGTATATAAGTATTCCTAACTGGTGGTAAACAGGAGTCGTGCAGCCTTAATGAGCCTCGGGTACTGTAGTAAATAGGATTTAAACCCAATTAACTAGCTGTGCAGGTGCATTTATAGCAGTTTCAGGTCCAGGTTAATTAAATCTATCATCCCAGGAACTCAACTTTAAACCCTATCTAATTCTAAGCAGCTGAGAGCTGTTCATTGTATTTACGTTGTCTCTCTGAGTCTAATTTCAATTTAGAATGTAGAAATTTCATTTAAATCCCGTGTCTTCTTCGTCTTCCTAACGATAATTACAGTCAGTAATTTTTTGCAGGTCGAGGACGATGCTGGTGTTCCTTCTCTCCGGCATTCTCCTGGCTTGGGTTCCTCAAGGCTTCACAAAGGCCCAGGAAAACCTTCCAGGCGTCGATGTTGCTGACAGACCCACAGCGGCGCCTTCTTCAGAGCTCTTGATACTAGACCAAGTCATAGAGTCCTTAAGAATCCCAAGAGAAAGGCTGAGGAGAAACTTACACGATGACCACAACCCCTCGAATGAGGCCCAATGGATAGGAAACCTCGACGGAGGCTCCGCGGGACGCAAGCGAAGCCTAGACCCCAATGACGCAGGCATCGCAGCAAGTAAGAGACGCCGAGCACCCAACGAAGCGGGTTCCGAAGAGGCTCTGAACAGCGGCAGTCTCAGAGGCGTCCCGCTCTTAGGGAACTCTACCTCAGCCAAGAGACAAACCAACTACACACCTCCATGTCCACCCATAATACCCAAACCCAGCCATTACAGCCAGTACGACTATCTGAGGTACATTGCTGAGAGTCGATCAGGGTGTGTCGGTAGTCCCTGTGTCAATAGATGTCATGTGAGTATTAAAAAAAAAAACACGATAGGCACAGTATTTCTGCATATATTTTATCTCTCAGTCAATACCAGTGAGCATAACACCTGTACACGATAATAAAGTTTATTTGTAATAAAGCCAGTTTTTCAAGAATATCCTTACTACTGTTCTCTCAAAATAATTTTAAAATTTTTAGCTGATAACGTATTTGCAATTATTTCTATTTTATAACATAAAACTAATTGCTGGCCCTAGCATCTGTAAGTTGTAAACATTTAACAGCTTATAACCTCTGTAATCATCTGCAACTTGTAAACATAACACAGCTGACTACCTTTTCAGCACAGTCATAAACCGCGAGAGACTTGCCCTTACGACTTCGAGTCGTTGTTGATGCGACTGAATCTCTTGGACGAGAGACTTCAGGTTTTATCCAAGGTGGAAACCCGACTCAAAATCCACGCAGGACTTCTGCTGAAGATCCAGAACAGCCCTAACTGTGAGTATCTCTTTTTATCCTGTAGAGACAGTACGAGACTCAGACACTGGTGTCTCCAGATGAATTATTGTTGTAGGTCTACTGGTCCATGTATATGAGAATCTTAAAACAGATTCTCATATACATATCGGTGTATATACATTAGATGAAATTATGTGTATAAATGCAATGGGAAGCGATTTTATCATGTTTATCTTTTCCTTGAGATTTTATTCAATAAATCGCGAAAAATAAATAGGTAAATAATTTATATTTAATTTCCATTTATATATTTATTTAACTCAACTTATATTTAATAAAAAAAATCTCTTTCCTAGTCCCTGGAGAACCTGGTGAGACAGGGCCCCGAGGACCTAAGGGCCAGAAAGGGGTGAAGGGCCCCCAAGGAAGTGCCGGAGGGCCCGGAACCTGCATCATAGCCTCTTCCCCCTCGCCTTCAACAGGTCCGGTGGGGCCCCCTGGAAACAAAGGGGCAACGGGCCCCCCTGGAGGAAAGCTGTGTGGATGTGATGGCGACCGAGGGGAGACAGGGGGCCCTGGCGAGGACGTAACTGGACCACCAGGGCCAAGAGGCATCAAGGGTCAGAAAGGGGTGAGGGGAAAATAAGGGAAGATGAACCTCGCCCCTCGCTCCTATCTTGCGTTTGTACAGTGTCCTCTTAATGTACTGTACGTTTGTACAGTGCCTTCCTAGTGTACTATACTCCACAACAGTGCCTTCTTAGTGTACTGTACCTCACAACAGTGCCTTCTTAGTGTACTGTACTCCACAACAGTGTCTTCTTAGTGTACTGTACCTCACAACAGTGCCTTCCTAGTGTACTATACTCCACAACAGTGCCTTCTTAGTGTACTGTACCTCACAACAGTGCCTTCTTAGTGTACTGTACCTCACAACAGTGCCTTCTTAGTGTACTGTACCTCACTGCCTTCTTAGTGTACTTAGTGGAAGGTGAAACACAAATACTCAGTGATCTAGACATCTGTATCTCCTTGTAACTTTACTATCCCCTAGTATATTTTTATATCCCTTAGTATCTTTTTCATATCCCCTAGTATCTTTTTATATCCCCTAGTATATTTTTCATATCCGTTAGTATCTTTTTATATCCTCTAGTATCTTTTCCATATCCCAAGTATCTTTCTCATATCAACTAGTATCTTTTTATAACCCCTAATATCTTTTTCATATCCCTAGTGTCTTTTTATAACCCCTAGTATCTTTTTCATATCCATTAGTATCGTTTTATATCCCCTAGTATCTTTTTATAACTTCTAGTATCTTTTCCATATCCCCTAGTATCTTTATATATCCCCTAGTATCTTTTTATAACTTCTAGTATCTTTTCCATATCCCCTAGTATCTTTATATATCCCCTAGTATCTTTATATAACTCCTAGTATCTTTTCCATATCCCCTAGTATCTTTATATATCCCCTAGTATCTTTATATATCCCCTAGTATCTTTATATAACTCCTAGTATCTTTTTCATATCCCCTAGTATCTTTATATATCCCCTAGTATCTTTATATATCCCCTAGTATCTTTATATAACTCCTAGTATCTTTTCCATATCCCCTAGTATCTTTATATATCCCCTAGTATCTTTATATATCCCCTAGTATCTTTATATATCCCCTAGTATCTTTATATAACTCCTAGTATCTTTTTCATATCCCTTAGTATCTTTTTGTATCCCCTAGTATCTTTTTCATATCTCCTGGTATCTTTTTTTATCTATATAATGATTGATGGAAGTGACACTGATTTTCGAGTTGAATAATTGAGAAATA